AGACCACACTCCCATCCAGCCCCTTTCACCTGCCTGGTGATTTGTCTCTTTTTCTGTATAGTTTTAGGAGATGCTATTCCATTCCAGGCACATATCATCTTGATAGAACCAAACCCTTGCCTTGCTTTAAGTTTTGATACGAGGAATCTGTATACCAAATTGGCTGGTCCTTGCTCTTACCACTTAGGAGTAGCGAGGAATCTGTATACCAAATTGGGTGGTCCTTGCTCTTACCACTTAGGAGTAGTTCTTGAACAAACAGATGGACAAACTCAAATAGTAGACTATCATTTGCCACCTCCCAATTTCTAAAAAGGCTCAGTACAGTTCTCTCGAGTTCCATCTGTATTTTATTGGCCTTGCAATATCTTCTTAACTGTCATAAGTCTTGCAAAATAATGTTTTGTATTGAAATTTTATGCAGACTCGTAGGCCTGGTGACCATCTGAAATAAAGACATAACTTCAGTTTGACTGTTAAGATAGTTTAAAGAGGAAGAAAGGGATCCATTTTATAATGAAGACACAAGTTGGGATCAAAGTGTTTTAAATAGAGTAGTAGATAATGGAAATTTAACATCAGAAGGCTATTCCTAGTATGCACTGGATCAGACATTCCAGGATCAGATAATAATCACTGCAAAATGTCAACTTTATTATCTTATTGGCTGCTGCCGGTAAAATTAAGGACATTTTTACTCTTTAAGCATGTAATGTGTTCTTTCATTCTGTATTTCTGTCTTCTTTTTCTGCATTTCTTAGCTGGTGCTTTACTGAACTTTACCATTTGGAAATGCTACTGTTATGATAGCAGTAGCACACAGTTTCCTTTTGACTTGTTTGTCATAGTTATTACTTCAGTAATATCAAGGGAAACACACCAAATCACACAGGGTAAGATTGTCATTCTCCCTCCTTGGTTGTGTAAGGTGTCCCCTTCGGTCCCCTGTGTGGGTTACCTTTATTGTAAGTAGCAGTGTGGGCTTGGCAGTGCTTTGTCTCCTATAGGCAAGAAGAAGTAGGGTGGGGTGGGGAGTGGGAGTTGCCTTGGTGCGCTCTCTTTTCAATGTTGGACCTATTAAAAAGGGGACTATAATCTGTGGTGGGTATAGAGCTGGTGTAGATTCCTCCTCTTTTTTCCTCACTCCCTCTCCCACAGTAAGGAGGGAGCTTGTGGCTCTGAGCAGGACTGTCTATTCTTTTTCTGGGGCAGCATAATTGTTCATTGCCCTTCACTCAGGGTGTGTATGGCAAAATCACAATCTCACCCATAACTTGAATTCATTTCAGCAGTACAAACATTGGATAGGGGAGAAGAATGGCACATTTAATTTAGCAATTTTATTCCTGATTGGCAAAGATTTATATTTTTAATATTCCTTTTGGTTAAAGGACTGAAGGAGATGTTTTAATCTTGGTGAGCTGAGGGGGTATTGGATACCAGTCCTCATTAATGTTTAATTAATAGTCCATAACTAAGGACCGTTACTTCTTTTGGAAAAGAGAGAGGATGGAACAGTGGGCTGGATGCTTCTGACGTAATTCAGAATGCTTCCTGTCTGCATTTGGACAAATCTGTGGTGGAGAAAATGAAATGCTTATATTCCCTGCAGGTTTGGAATGTTTGAGTTTCTCAGCAATTACGCAAAGGATTCACGTGGGAAACTAGACAACAAAAGGAGTTTACTCTGTGGCCTTGGAGCTGGTGTTGCAGAAGCTGTCGTAGTAGTCTGTCCAATGGAAACTATAAAAGTAGGCAGACAGTTAATATTCTAATACTATTACATCTACTATTACATCTACTTATTGGAAACATCTTCTGGTTAGCTAAACAAGTCTCTCACTGAGTTTTCTAATTTTGTTTTTTAAAGGGACTGACCACAGTTTAGTTTGTGCTATTATGTGTTCTGAGACAACTAGACCAGAGTATTATTATCGCCTTACTGTGCAAACATACGTAGTTATGAAATGTTTAAAAGGCAGGAGAGAGATTTTTTTTTCCCTATAAATTGTAAGGTTGATAGTTTTGTAGAACCTGACAAAAGAGCCCCAGTTCATATTAAATGACTAGAAAAAAATAATTGGTAGGCAATATTGTGCTTAAAGGTTTGTTTTTTAAATTGTTACAGGTGAAGTTCATTCATGATCAGTCCTCTTTAAATCCAAAGTACAAAGGATTTTTCCATGGTGTCAGAGAGATTGTTCGGGAACAAGGTATAATCATGTAGCAAAAACTGTTATGATTCTTATCTCAGCATAACTTAATGGGGAACCATAAACATACTTTGTTCAATTTGAGCTAAGTTATATAATATACATGTATTGAGGGGAGGATACAGTTGGTTCTAATGAATGATCTTGACTTTTAGTAGACAGGCAGGTTAATTTTGGCTGTCTAATTTTCACTCTCGTTTAATTACATACTTTTCTTTTTTTATATATACATTTTTAAATCTGTTTACAGGTTTACGTGGAACATATCAGGGCCTGACAGCTACTGTCCTCAAACAAGGATCAAACCAGGCTATCCGTTTCTTTGTGATGACTTCCCTTCGAAATTGGTATCTAGGTAAAATGAGTCAGTCAGGCAGTTTAATTGTATTAGATGTACACAAATTTTATCCAATAATGTTTTTTTAAACTCGCTTACATGGCAATGATAGAAACGTTTGATCCATACTTCCCACTGTTTTGTTGGCCGCTTATTTGAATATGAGAATATATTCTAAATTAAGAACTAAATTATTTCTAAAAACATTAGTATTTGTGGAGATATGTGGTCTAATTTATTTATAATTATTTATATGTGCTTAATCAGGTGATTCCCACAGAAAGATGAATCCGTTTATTACAGCGGCATTTGGTGCTACTGCAGGTGCGGCCAGTGTCTTTGGCAATACTCCGTTAGATGTAATCAAAACCAGGATGCAGGTAAAAATCACTCTAGAAATTAATCTTGAAATGAACTGGCTCTATCAGAACTCTAACTCGGATCAGCGCTGGTCTTTCATTTAAGAAGACAATAAGAATCTTATATGCTTGTCTCTTACATTTACGCTTTTTATTTGGATTAGTACAATTTTTGAGGATTATTATTACAATAGAATCAAGGAGCCCTAATTGTGGAACAGTACCGCATTGTGCTAAGCATTGAACAAAAACCGAGGGGGGGAACTTCACTTAACCTAAAAGTTTACATTTGACTTCAGCTCTAGCATAGCACTGTGGATAATGGTTGTTTCAGGTACCAGGTATCACAACTACCCTACTTCATGCTTTGTGAAGACTTGTTTGGAAATTAAGCTTGTAAAACATCACAAACCATTTGTAAAGGAAACGTGTATGAATGATGGTACATGATTGGATTTGTCTTCAAAAATAAGAACTAAGCATGAAAGTTTCAAAATTTGTGTTGGGGGAATTTTTTTCAGTTAAAGTTTGGGATTCTTACTGAGGTGCAGGTAGCTGTTCCAAAATCCACTTTTTTTAAATTACAGTTCAGGTAATTTGCTAAAAGCTGAGATCTCTAATCACTCAACTCACTTCATTTGTTTTGCATTTCAGGGTCTGGAAGCCCATAAATATAAAAATACACTAGATTGTGCCTATCAGATCCTCAAAAATGAGGGCCCATTAGCGTAAGTGGATTCAGTTATTACCTATATATGTGGGATATTATAGCTGCAATATTTGAGTGAAACTATTGACTTTCATCTTTTGGTGGGTGTAACACTTTTTAGCCCAGCCTGCAACTCCTTGCTAGAGTGGCACTTATCGATATTATCTTAGTACTGTTTTTGTTGTCGTCTTTATGGATTCATTTTTAGTGTAGTCTAGAACTAGCACATGTCATTTACAACTACTGTTCCTTACCTTCCACTACCCCAGTGACCTTTTGTTCGTCTGTCTCACATGCAGACTGGTCACAGAGGAAAAGGTGGAAGCATATTGGATAACTTTCACTCCTTTCCAATTGGTCTTCTATAAGAGCTGTTGCACGTTTGCCATTAGATGGGACTGATATAACAGGTTTTTTTCTTCACCAATTTAAGTATCTGATATAGTCAATTACTGTAAGCAACTCATTTTGGAAATACTTAGAAACTATTTGCGAAACTGTAAAAGTTCAACTTGCTGTTTCAATTGACTTTATGAAATTTCAAATTGTCTTACTTTTTATTCCAAATGCCAAAAATATTTTCTTCCTTCTGTGAAGCATTTTCTTATTTACAATTCTTCTACCCACAGATTTTACAAAGGAACAATTCCCCGGCTTGGCAGAGTGTGTATGGATGTAGCAATTGTGTTTGTTATTTATGATGAAGTGGTCAAAATTCTCAACAAGGTCTGGAAAACAGACTGACAGCTGGTTGTATAAAGCTGACGAGGACTATTTGCATAACTGGCTAGCTTAGATCCACATTCATTGGACTAATCTGAATTTATTACATATGGTTTATTATCAGAGATATTTGAAATGCAAAAACTCCGTCCCCATTCTTTAAAGTGACAAAACCTGGCAATATATTAAAGTTTGTAAGTCGTATGGTGTAGAGAAAAGATTAGAAGGGAAAAATTACTAACTGCATACCTTTTTGGTTCTGAACACAGCTGAAATTGATTCTTGATAGGCAGAAGACCAATTTTAAAATAAAAACACTTGGCTCGATTCTGCAGTTTACATGAATATATCCCTAGATTAATTTTATTGATCATTAAATTCCAAAAAGGCCATGTCTAAACACAAAGTTGTATCAAACTACTAGAAGTGTTCTGTTTTGTTTTTAATTAATTTTTAAGTTGTTAACCCATGTATGGACACTCCTAATTAAAGCCTGGCTTAGCAAGATAAATTTACCCTGACTTAGGATGAACGACATAAAACTATTTTAAGTCTAATTTAAAAGTGCACTGGTTCCAGAAGAGATTTGGGTAATCTGATTCTTAAACTTTGCCAGTTGTGTGTATGGATAAGGCTTGAATGCCTTCTGTAGAGTTATTGTTTGTTTACATTGGCATAATTGAGAGCAGAATCTGTTACATTGTTCTTGAAAGAGCCAATATACTGAAAAATTGAAAAAAGGAGCACAGGTCTCATGCTGGCTGATAGCAACTGTGTAAATAGATTTTATTTATTTATTTATTTATTTTATTAATTTCTGAGTTTGATTTCTGGGCCAGGAGGAAGCCTTTTATGCTTCTGCTGTGGAGAATATGCTGAACCCGCTTTCTGATCTGAGATACTAGAAGTAGCGGGGAATGCTTGGAACCACATCAGGGTATGTAAAGGCCCAGTCCTGCTATATTTATATATTTCAGAGAGTTCTACTCGAATAAGGACTGTAGGTCTAGCCTTATTCTGAAATTGCACAGTAAAGTTTCTGAAACAGCTGCATGGTTTCATGCTCGATCAGTATTTTAGGTAACCTAGGCCATTGCAGTCTTACTGGAGACCTGGTCACAAGTTTCACTAGCCCCTGCTTGCAGTTTTAGTGATGTCCCTCAAGAAAATTGTTCCTACATTTTGTTTGGAGTAGGAATTTGGGGAGTTGCATTTGCTGCATTTTCAAGGGTTAGATAATGCCCTAAAACTATTTTACAGTCTTTGTTTTTATGAATGGATAAATATGTTGATTCTTAATACGTGCTTTAATAATCAAACTGGAACACTTTGGCATGGCAGATGAGTTTTTGTCCATGAAAGAGAGAATAAACATCATATGTTACAACACTTGCTCTGCAAAAATATTCCCCGTTGACCTCTTTATTTTGGTGGTACTTTAATCATTAAGGCATTTGAAGAAACTTCATTTAATTTTGTGCATGGATGGGATGGGGGCAGAGAAAATAGTGTAAGAGAGCTATGTGTAAATTTGGAATTCCTTCAAGGGTGTTATGTCAGTGAATCTAAAGATAATTTGTGCCAGACGTTCATACAATTGATTAAAAAGACAAGCATTTTTTTAAAAAGTTGATGAAAGGACCAAATCAATGTAGATAAAATATCTTCCATACTGTATCCTATAGCTTAGATTTGGTGTGATATTTAGACTTTGGCAAGCCAGAAAAGGTCAATCTGGAGCTAAGCTCGCTGCAATTTAGGCAAAGGATCATGTCTCCTATTGGTATCTGAATGTCCCTTCCTCTTGTGGTTCTTGCCACTAGCATTTGGTTGGATTGTCACCAAATACAAGAAATGGTCATGTTGCATCACTTAAAGTTGGAAACTTTAGTTCTAGGAGCTTCCTTTATCGTGTGGGAAACTTATGCCAATCCACTCTGTTGTCTGCAGCAAGTATTGGCCAACAAAGTAGGACACATTACTTTATGAAACAATCATTTATGTCCTATAGTAAAGTATTTCTATAACTTACAAATTACAGATAATTTGTGGCTGGGATTTGATGAATACAAAGTAAATGCGATAAAAGTGGTCAAATTTTCAGAATTTTAAGACAAGTGCTAAAGCAGGATGCATTACTTCATAGCTGCTATAACATGGCTCCTTTATATAGTCAGAATGGGCAGGGCTTCCACCTTCATCATTTAATAGGTTGTCAAATTGATTATAACCCTTTTTACTGTCTCAATAAGCACCAATGCTGTCCCCATGCACTATATACTCTGAAATATCGACATTGACCAAAATTTGACTAAAATAACTCTGTAGCTGCCCAGAATTCTTCATCCTCCAGTGACCTATCAGTGTTAACTCCCTTGGTGTCCCTTTGATGTAGTCATCTTGGCTAACTGTTCTGTTTCTACAACTCTACCTTTAACATTATATGGTCTGTCACGTATAGCTGCATCAACCACTTAAGCTCTGGTATTGATAACCAGTTCAAAGCCTTTGTAAACGTTGTACAAGTTCCTAATGGCCACAGAGCCCAAGTGTGATTCAATGGCCATTTAGTTTCAGAGCTCAGCTAAGAGCCTAAGATGGAAAAACTACAGTGACTTCAGTAGTTACAGCAGTGGCTATGTGAAGGAACTAGGCACTGGCCTATCAAATAGCAATAAGACTAAATTTTAGCACATTAAATTTAAATAGGAGAGGAGAGTTGAAGAGACAGGAAAGCATAAAATCTGGTCATGATGTTTAAATGTTGAGCACATAGTATTTCTAAAATTCAAACATTCTATGTGGGTTTGGGGATTAGTGTATTTAGCTTTGTTCATTTAGCTAGACTAGCTAATAGCTCATTAGCCATCTCTTTTGTAATCCTGAAGCTGTTTGACAAATAAAAACACTTCATTTTCAGTTGTGGTAAAATCAGCAATTTCAGAATCAAATCTTGCACAATTACCAATTTAGCAAGTAAAAGTACTGTACATGGTTACTCTTCCTGGTACAGTATCTAGTATTGGTTTGGTCAGTAGTACATGGAATTGCCAGTTGTTCTGCTCAGTCATACATGGAATTACTAGAAGCTCTCTAGGGCTGTCTATACTATACTTTATTTTGAGATTACTAGTGGTATTTCAGAATAACAATGTCCGAGTCTACACAGCAATTCTGTTATTTTTAAATGAATTCAGAATAACAGATACCTTATTCTGACTTCTGTAAAGCTCCTCATTCTATGAGGAATAATGCCTATTCCAAAATAACTATTTCAGAATAGGGTATGCGTAGACACAGCACAGGGAGTTATTTTGAAATACGGTGCCTCAAGGAAATCCATAGGTACCCTGCTGGCAGGCCCCTCACTCCACACTCCTCAGGACTCTATAATTCCTTTTCCCTTGCAGCTGTTAAAGCTGTACCCCAGGGGAAAGGGCTTGTGCCAGGAAGCTGGCCCTGACAGCCCCCAGCCACACTGCAGCTGTCTCAGCAATTCAGTGGGCCACCATGGCACTCCCCTGCTCCCAAGGAGCACTCTGATTCACAGGAGCCTGCCAGGCAATGGAAGACATATGCTCCATCCTGGTCTGGGGCAGAGATCCTGGCCCTAATTGAGGGGTGAGGCAAGTAGGAAAACCTCCAGGATCTCCGCTCCAGCTGGCGCAACATCAACATTTATGGCCGTATGCCCAATAGCCTGGCCACCAAGGTCCGGATGAAAGTTAAAGAGCTCCACCAGGGCAATGCCAGGGTGAGAGAGCACAGCTCCTGCTCAGGTCCACACACATACCCCTATTACCAGGACCTGCACCACATCCTGGGGGATGCTGCAGCCCCTTCCCCATCCCTGCTTGTGGGCTTGGGGCTGGAGACCCCCATTGTCATCCATCCAGGGGCCAGAGCCAGTGAGGAGGATGACTCTGACGAAGCTGGCACTGTCACCTCGAGGTACCCACAGAGGACGTGGAGGAACAATTCAAGCCAGATGCTTCTCCCAGCCCCACTGCTCATCCTCACCCCTCCTCCCCCTTTCACTTGCCTCCTGCTCCCTCCCGGGTTCTCATCACCCTCTCCTCATCCAGGTTCTTTACCCAGTTATTTGTACTCCAAATAAATAACCAAGCAGTTCTTCTCTTCTGTCCCCCTCCCCTCCAAACCAAAGACTGTTTTATTGTCTGTGTGGGGGGGATGGGTGTGTGGGTGTGAGGAGAGGGGTTGTTGAAGGAAGGAAAGGCGGAGAGGGGCAAGGCACAGGGTCCTAGTCAGAAGGCCCTGGGAAGTGTCACTGTTCTTGTAAGAAATTCTTCCTCATGGCATCCTGGATGTGCACCCCTGCCTGATGGGACTAATGGATGGCATCTGTGAACAGTTGTTCAAAGACCCTGCCCTCCCAGCCATCCTCTGCCTCCCACCCAGGGAGGAAGGCCGCCTCCTTCCTCTCAGAGAAGTTGCGGACACCTCCTGGGCAATGTTTCCCCAAAATCCAGGCAGGGTCAGGAGGCATTGGAAATGGGCCCTGAGAAACCCAAAGGCACACTCCACTATCAGATGGGCCCTGCCCAGCCGGGCATTAAAGTGGCCCATGCTGGGGTCAAGGTGTCCGGTGTAGGGCTTCAAGAGCCATGGCAGGAAGGTTGGGCTACATTTTCCCCCCCACACCCACCACGCATAGTGGCATATCCGTATCCCTGACTCCGATGGTGCACTCAGGGAAGAGTACAAGCCTCCAGTTTCTGGAATTGTGGAACATGCTGGTGTCATGCACCTTCCCTGACCACCCAACATGGATGTCAGTAAATTGCCCACAGTGATCAACCAGGGTCTGTTGGACCATGGACAAGTATACCTTCCAGTTAATGTAGTGAGATGCCCCATGGTTGGGGCCTAGATGTGGTGTGGTCAATAGGCCTCTCCTCCTCCTCCCCCCCCCCCCCCAGTTGGGGAAGCCCATGGCAGCAAAGCTGGTGACGAGGGGGGTCCACATTGCTGAGGTGCATGACCATGCTCAGCAGGGCAGTGTTGATGGCCCTCACCACCCACAGAATGAGAATCACGGGTGCCAGAGCCCTTGAGAGATCACTGAGCTCCCCCCCTTTATCCTGCCCCCCACACCGGGGGCCATCCCTTATGTAGCCCACCCTCTGCAGCAGGGCTGTGAGAGGGTGGGACTGGAGAATTGCCTGGGGAAAGGGGCTTCCCCCCCCACACCCCTTTTCCCTATGGTTCCCCTTTCTGGCACTTCATACCCCCCCAGGACTGCAGCCTGAGCACGCCATACCTGCATGACGAGGGCCCTGACGGTTGACTTCCCTGTGCCGAACTACTTCCCGACAGATCAGTAACTGTTCAGTGTGGCAAGATTCCAGACAGCGATGGCAACGCTCATGTGGATGTCCTGTCGCGTTAGGGCAGGGGTGAGCCAGGCACACAGCTCTGGAAAGGTCTCTTTCCTCATGAGGAAATTCTGGAGCCACTGCTGGTTGTTCCACCGCTCCATCACGAGCCAGTCCCACCAGTCGGAAATGGTGTCCAGCTGCTAGAAGTGGCGCTCCACGGTGGGTGCGATCTGAGAGAGCTGGGCTCCCAGATGCATGTTAAGGGTCTCCTCAGGCAGCTCGGGGTCGTGTTCCTGGAGGGCAGCCTGCAGAAACTGCAGCATGACAGTCAGGCTGTCGTGTGCTCAGAGGCAGGTCCAGTTCCATAGCTAGGATTGCTGTGGTGTTCACGGGGCAACCAAAGCACGCAGCAGAAATGCTTTGCTGTCCCTCAGGCTGTGTCTAGACTACACCTCTCTGTCAGAGATGTAGATTAGGTTGTAGATATCGATTTAGATTAGATTAGAGATGTAGATTAGGATGTAGATGTGAATGAGGTTTACGGGATCTTTCAGAAAAGGATCTATTTTTCAAAAGATCTGTGTCCAGACAGCATTTTTTTTTCGAAAAAGCTCTGTTTCAGAAAAAAGCGGTGGCTATGTTTATGCTAATGAAGTACGGGATATTTAAGTCCCTACTTCATTAGCAATTTCGACGTGCCTAATCTACATCCCTCTGTCGACAGAGAGGTGTAGTCTAGACACACCCTCAGAGAGGTAGGCAAGCAGAAGGTGAGAAACAGCTGTACAGAAGGGTCCCTTTAAGCATGTGTCTCAGATACTTCCTGGAGCTGCTGCCTGAGGCTAACTGCTGACGTGATGCCCTGCCTGAAGTGGTTCTGGATGGCCTTAAATGCGAGTTAGCGCCCAATCAGTGTGGACATGCTATTTTGCAATATCTAAGCACTATTTTGATGCACTTTTTGGATGCAGACATGCTATTTCAAAATAAACTATTCCAGAAGATAAATTCCGGAATAGCTTATTTTGAAATTAGCATGCAATGTTAGATGTACCCTAATTGTATCCATTACTGGTGGTCACGGAAATAGGGATTGCTGTATTGATACATGCTTCATGTAAAGCTGTTTTTTAATGTTTGTGGCTTTTTTTTTTTTAGCATTTAACCTTTCTAAGTTGTTTGCTATGCTTATTTTTAATGTTAAATAATTGTTTACAAGTTGAATCTTTTCTCTCAAAAAATAAAATCAAAATATGGCTTATCTTAAAATGTAAGTGGATTTTGCTCACGATTCTATATATTTTTGTTCATCTCTAAGCTGCCACAGGACTACTTGTATTTTTTTAAATGAGAATTAGATAAGTTTCAAAGGCGTTAATCACTGAGTGAGATAATGTTGCACCAAATATTGTTCTTGCTTTATACAAATGCAATCTTGTTGCTTTGCCCCCAAGAACATTATTTCCCTCTGTAATCTGATCAGTCATGTAGTTCATATTATTTGGGCAAATATATCTAACTAAATCTGAATCCCTGCTGCAAAAGCCATTTGTTCTACATACCTCTGTATTCTCCACAGCTGGATGGACAGAAGGAAAGAAAATCTCTAATTCAGTGGAAGTATATCGATGGGAAGGTAACTATGCCTGGATGTCTTCTTTCCATTCAGCATCACTGACAGTTTTCTCCTTAAACTCCATATAGCTACTGGATGGAACAGGAATAGGAAATCCATAGCTATTGAAGGTGATTCTTTAACTTGTTTTGTCCCTGCATTTTCTCTGTGGAGACCCAATTGGGGCCTTTAAATAGATACAATGGTAGTCAGTTCTTTAGATATGGGACTCCTTGCAGGCTTCACACTCATTGGCTGTGTCTACATTGGCATGATTGCGCAAAAACATGCTGCCTGTCTACGCTGGCGGGGAGTTCTTGTGCAAGAACACTGATGTTCTAATATATGAAATCAGTGCTTCTTGCGCAAGAACTATGATGCTCCCACTCAGGAATAAGCCCTCTTGCGCAACTGTTCTTGTGCAAGAGGCCAGTGTAGACAGGCAACATGAATTTCTTGTGCAAGAAAGCGTCTACACTGGCACGGATGCTTTTGCACAAAAGCACATCTCTTGCGCAAAAGCACATGCCAGTGTAGACGCTCTCTTGCGCAAATACGTTAACACAAAAACTCTTGCGTTAAAAGTATTTGCACAAAATCTTGCCAATGTAGATGTAACCATTGATAGGTAGAAATTCATCATACAAAAATGTATATTCCAACCTATACTCCTCCGATTGCAACATGGAAGTACTACAGTGGAAGTGTGTACATGTCTTATAAAGCACCCCAAAAGTCTTGGAAAGGGTTTTTTAACCTCTTGCGAGCAGGGTTGCTGTGGGATGTAGTTTGAGAGGCTGGGGGAATGGAAAGTGAAATAACGTTCTTCTCTAGGGGAGGCAGGTACAATAGTGAGGGTCTGGGTGCAATAGAACTTGGAGTTCTTGGCGATACGGTGCATCTTCTTTATTCCTTCAGAGCCCCCTTGTGCTACATTATGCATTTTTGTCTCTGTGAATGTAGTAATTAAAGTTACTATTGATTTATGTTTTTTAATTCATTACTGATTTCAAACTATGTAAAATTTGCACATGCACAGTGGTGCCTCTTAATTTTCAACCACTGCTTAATCTGGATTCAGAAGCCATCAGATAACCTGATGCATAGGTATATGTGATGCGCATTTGGGAATGTGTTCAAATTAATTTGCACAGTTGAATTAGAATTCCTAAGCATTGCACAGAGTGATCTTGAACGAATTTCTGTCCATTAGAGGTCAGCATTCTACTGTAAATGCTCACAAATATAGGAAAAATGTTTAGTCTCTGTTAATAGGTCAGCTGATTACTACCAATATTTAGATGTGTGCTTGTCACTTACAACCAAGTGGTCTCTAAGGAGCCTATAACTGCATATTTACTGAAGGCCTCAGTCTACAAACCCTGCTCCCAAAAGAAAGGATTTGCAAATTTGGGCCCTGTATCCATTACATTGAAATCCAGAATAGCTGAAAATGAAAAATTAACATGATGCAGAATAAGGAGGCTCAAATTGCCACTGAACCACACAACTGCTTGTTTGTATGTATTATAGACAGGTTGTGAAGTTTTAAAAGGGCATTAGAAAACCAGTGAACCATCTATTCAAAACTGCCATTTGCTATTGGAATCTGATATCTACCACTTTAGCATTTAATAGACCAAAGTGTCTCCCCTATCCTACCTTTCTAATGATAGGTATTTGTGGAGCAGGAAAAATAATATAAAAATCCAGCAGAGGGCATCACTTAAACTTTCAGTTTTAGCACAAGCACATGCACAACTAGTTTTATATTTCATTATAAATTAGATCACATACTATTAATAAGTTGAGGAAGAAGACAAAGTTAAAAATGAGTAAATGTTTCCAGTGCAACACACACACACACGCATAGTTATGTTTTAGAGTTGCTTTGAAAATGTTCTAAACTTGCAGTATTAATTTTTAAGAAAAATGAAATTGACAAGACTAAATCTAGTTGAAAGTGAGTCAATTTTTATAATGAGCTCTAATTTCTATTTTTAAATAGATGCCCAAGAATATAACAATTAAGATAAGTTACTTGTTAGCTAAATGCAAAAGACAAAGCCAGTAGATATATCTGAAACTATACAGCCCTAAACTTCCTTTTCTTCACTGTTTGCCCTGTGGCTGCTTGATGACTTTTTTTTTTTCCTAGAATGCTTTTTATCCGTGGATCTTGCAGATCTCTGTACAAACCAGGTCACTATATCATCCCAATTTTTACAGATGGGTATAATGAGGCATGAAAAGTAGCATATTCTCCGCATATAAGGTCCATCAATGGCTATTAGCCAGAATGGGTGATGGGTTTGATGATTACCTGTTTTGTTCATTCCCTCTGAGGGCACCTGGCATTGGCCACTGTCGGAAGACAGGATACTGAGCAAGATAGACCTTTGGTCTGACCCAGTATGGCTGTTCTTATGCACAAGTGGTAGAGCCCAGAATAGTCTGGACTAAGGCAAGTCATTTAAGAACGTAAGAACAGCTATACTGAGTCAGATCAAAGGTCCGTCTAGCCCAGCATCCTGTCTTCCAACAGTGGCCAATTCCAGGTTCCCCAAAGGGAGTGAACAGAACGGTAGAGTGATCACTTGATTGCCTATCATCCATTTCTGGTCTCTGACAAACAGAGGCTAGGGATACCATACCTACCCATCCTGGCTAATAGCCATTGATAGACTCTAAACTCCATGAATGTATCTAGTTCTTCTTGAACCCCATTAAAGTCCTGGTCTTCACAACCTCCTCTGGCAAGGATTTCAGCTGTCTCTTCCTCAGCAGAGCTTGTATTTGTCTTTGATTTGGCAAAGCACCTTAAGTTCATGCTTCCGTCTTATTGAAATCAGTGGAGTATAAGCCTTTTGAGCGGGGGCCTATATGAATGAATCTGAGGTGATGCAAGTAACTAGTAAGAATCAAACTGTTGTAATGCCCTCATTACTCATGTTATCGGAGAAGATGGTAATACTGTGCTGTGAAAGGATCTATAACGATAGTATGTTCTGGATGTAAAGACAGGTTTCCTTTCATAGCATTTCAACAGATAAAATCTTTGACAATGTGAAATAGAAGTCTAGAGCTTTCCTACTCAACACATTTTGTTGCACAGTAGTTGAGAATATACATTTTACTTTCCATCATGATTTTGGTCATTCACTACAATGTTACAACTCAGAACAGCAAAACGTTCTCCAACAAATATGCAAAAGTGTGCCAAACCTCTATCCACTTGTGTAAAATATAGGAGCTTCATGATAACTGGGATGAGGCGCCAATGGCACCTTATATTTTTCAGATGTGCATAAAGGCTTTCAAATCGTTTCCACTATGACATTAGCAACTGGATATCTGCATTACAGCAGCAGGATGCTTCCCAGCTTGAACTGTCAGTTTATGTATTCAGTTAATGTTTTTTTCTTTATTCTTTTTCAATCTGCAAGAAAAGCAAGAGCTCTAGCCTTGTTTATATTGGGCATTAATATATTCTACTAGAGATGGAGCCTGAGCCAACCTCCCACTCCAAATGCCATTGAACTTTGGGCTATTTGGTCAGTTTTGGATCAAGTATCAAGCTATTTGGACTGGAAGGAAACTTCCCATCCAAATTCTTCTGAACTTTGGAGAAGTTCAGATCCAGATTGGAATGATGTAGCTTGGGCTCATCTCTCATTAAATTGATGCAACACGTTTCAACATGAAAGGAGTAGCAAAACATTTCACAAGTGACCTGTACTAGGAAACCTCAGTGTGTTAATCCCTCAAACAGGAAACCTTTTGAAAACCATGAGGGACATGGGGGTGAGGAGGTAATGATGTAGTCCATAGGCTATTGCTTCTTGTCCTTTTTCCTCCCATCTATTCGGTTTGTTCAGTGTTAGGGCAAACTTAGACTGATGTAACAGAGTAGCTCTTTGAGAATTAATAGAGTTGGTCTTGTTTACATCACTATTTAGAACAACTCAATTTTAAAATGTTGTTACAGTGAAAGAATAACTAGTTCTTGCCTGGTCATTGCCATGCAATTGGCTCAGGAGCTCAGCCTTAGGTTTGTGATGTAATTATCTCTAAGTCCTGCTTCAGATGTTGGAACAGAACAGGGTGAATAAGATGAGGCAGAGTGGCAGTGAATAGGGAGAAGATCTGTAACTCAACAAACTATGACCTGAACATATACATTATAGAGGCAGTAGCCTAGGGCAGCAAGTGGCTCCACAGGAGCATGTAATTGTTTGGATGGGTAACCGATAAGCATGAGCTTATCAGTTACCCTTTTAAATGGCTACACGCTACATCCCTAGAATGCAGTGATGTAGTTGCACCAGAGAGCTGTAGCTCCATTGACTTCAAGGATGGCTTCGTGACTTCCACTAAGGATCTGAGCTGCATGTGCTCAAAAACTAGAGATTCAACATTTGCATCTTCTAGCATTGCCAGATGTTTGTAAGGGCGTGGAGAAGGGGAGCAAGGATGGAGAGCAGATGCTGGTTCTAAAAGCCAGCCAAGGAGAAGCAGGATGATCAGGGCAGAATCTGAATTGCATTTATGTTAGGTACACATATGGCTTCCATCACCATAGTGTAGACATGTCTTACTGTATTCATTCTCACAACACTAGGGATGTTAGGTATCGTTTGATTGAATAGTCGTGTAACTGCGTGATATCTTAGCAGTTACACTATTGAATTGTCACCGTGGGCGGGGTCAGCACTCAGTATGCTCTCGGCCCCACTCCTGGGAAGCCCCCTGCCACCCCATGCTTCTGCCTCTGTATCAGTTTAAAAACCAGCTCCCCGCACAGAGTGGCTACTCACCACCCCGAGACAGAGTCAGCAGCATGGGGTGGCAGCAGCCCCTGTATTCAGGGAGTTGGAACTCCCCATGAACAGGGGCTGCTGCTATGGACCAGCCTCTGTCCATGGTAAGTCTGGGCTGCCACAGGCAGAGGTTGCTTTATGGCAGCCTCTCCTCCTGCCCCAAATTGAGGCTCAAAGAGACAGAGTGACTTGGCCCAGTACATACAAGAAGGCAGTGGCAGAGCAAGGAGTTGAATTCAGTATGAAGCCTAAGCTGCTATCTTTAAGTGGATCATCTCCATGTAGATGGAGGAGACTTGGTAGAGGGCACAACAATCATACAGAGAGCAGCTGTGATAGACTACAACTAGGCAGAGTAGAAACTAAATATTATTACTGTCCTTTGCATTGCAGTAAGACCCACTGGCTTCAGTCATATCCTGTTGTGCTGTGCACTGAATCCAATGATGTTGCTCTAGATTTACAGCCCTGTGAGTAATATCATAATGGATCCTAGTTTGTTTGTTTTTCCTTTAAACTCTAAATATATTTCAGTTTTGGAAAAACTTCCTTGGAATCTTTCCAGCTGTATCCTCCACTCAGCCATGAGAAATGCTGTGAGCGGAGTTTGACATATATTTTATTATAAATGGTCATCAATACAGAACCAAAGTCATTTTTATAAATAGCTGTGAGGACCACAAACAGATGCAGGTAAAAAAAAAAACATTCTTTAGCAGGATCAATCTATTTGCCTAGTAGTTGTTACTGTCTATTCATTTGTTTTGGGGAGGGAGACTTCAGTATTTTACATTCATTGCAAAACCAAAGCTGCCTTTCTAGTGAAGCCAGAGGGTAGAATCTGATCTCTTTTTCATAGGTGTAAGCTTGGAATAACACCACTGAAGTAAATGGAGTTACTCAGAAAGTATTCTAGTTTATCAGAAATAATTCAAGGTATTCCAAAACTCCCAGATCTTTTAAATTTAGTGGCATCTTAGTAGGCCCCCGAGCAGAGAGGCCCAGGATAGAATGGAACCGGGTGTTCAGTCACATTATTCTCTCATCTCAGAGCTACTTTCTCCTGGGGCTAGGGTTGAAGCATGTTCCTGGGCAGCTTCTTCTATTGCCTGTGCTATACCTGTTTAAGAGGACCACTGCTACTCTGTGAGCATCAAATTTATAAACAAATGCTGCATAAAAGCAACAACCCCATGCCTGCCTTGCCTCCTTAGCTAGGCCTTAAGCCAGGACCTGCAGCACCAGTATCAACCAACCACTTTAGCAAACAATTTTAGCTTTGACCCCCACTAGCACACACTGGTGGAGTTTATTACACAGTAATAGCCAATATGGGGATTTGAGCTTAGATACTAAGTGGGTGTGGCTGATACAGATAAAAGCCCACTACTGCTGCAGGTGAACTGTGTAACTTTTTTTTAGTTTAAGTAAGTGGCAGAGGCCTGTATTTTGGTGCTGTGGTTTCAGTCCCCAAATGGGCCACTGATATGTAAGAGCCCCCACCAGCAGTTATGTTGCACGCACGCGCGCACACACACACACACACACATACATATTTGCCCATGGGCAGTGATATTGCAATAGTGGCAGTCAAATAACTTGCATTCACTAGAACAAAGGCTGCCTTCCTTTGTAAAGTCTTAATGTAAGCTGCCATCTGTTTCTTGGGTGTTATGCTGGCTAGAGGGGTAGAAAACACATGTACAGTATCCTTTGTGGCTTGAACAGTGGTAGGAGAGAATGCCTTTGAAGCATAGATTCTTGTAACATGCAAACTGACTAGAAGGAGACTTACAATTTAGCTTTCTTCGATCTTTTAACACAACTGTATTTAAAACAACTTATTACTAGCACCAAAACGATGATTTCTGCCTTTCCCTATGTTTTTTTTTTTTTTTGTATTTTACTGGTCCATTACTGTGATCGACATTTTAGGGCCCTGCTTGGCAACAGTGTAAGCAGTGACACAGCTGAATGCAAGCACGGGACAGTAACAAATTTCCGAGTGAATATAAAGGCTGCGCTCTATTCTCAAAACCTCACTCTTTTTTCATTGAGAAAACACCAGTCGTCTCAGTATGGGGTTGTATTCAAACTTTCTTGGGGGTTATTCAAAGCGACGCAGATGATTGTATAGAGACTGTACGTAGGTGAAAACACACATGGGATCTGGCTTGCGGCCCATCACCATCATGTCGTCCACTTCTATCAGGCGGTCGCAGTGTGCCAGTTTCCTGCAGCAATACCAAAAAAGAGCTATCAGACAATGGGTTATTGCTAGTGCACCCTGGTATATTTCCAAATCAGCTGGGCTTGTATCAAAGAGTGGAATTTGTTTTCAAAGAAATCTATATAACCATCTAGTTATGGATTAACACTGAAATGGTCAAGCGCATGTGTTGCTTGAATGTTGCCAGGTTCTGTAAACAGGGAAAATTCCTCTTCCACCCCTCTCCTTTCTCATGATCTGACTCAAAGCTCAGTGGGATTTTTTTCCATTAGTTTCAATAGACTTTAGATCACCCCTAATGATCTGCTGGCTGCATCCCTGCCTCTCTCTGGGCCTGGGCAAGAAGGGCCCATTGGGCTTCCAAATCCTTCTCCCACTTCAGGAGAAAGAAAGCCCAGATCACTCTAGTTCAGAGGGGAACAGAAGTGCCATTCTGCCGGCAAAGAGGCTTGCACGGACAACAGGTATAAGTGAAATGGGAAAGGACTTCATGAGGAAGGCCGGGCTGTTTGTTTTACGGGAGAGTGACCCAGGTAGCAGTCCTGGATTGCCATCAGGATCAAGCGCAGATACAGGCTAGAATCGGGAAGAAAGGGAGATGTCTGATGAGGTCTGCGGTGACAGATCTGTGGCATGATGCACCAGTGGGCATGGGGTAGACCGCGCCCTGCATGGATACAGAATTTGTATGCACATCTCTCCCTGCAAAAATGAGCCTCAGATAGCTGCCAGTTTTGCAGGGTTGTCCACTAGAGCCCAAGTCCTGTGGGAGGAAATGAGCCACCAGTCTTTCTTTGCTCTAAATGGGCATGTCTAGACGACATGTTATTTTCGAAAGGATATGCAAATTCTGCTGGAATTATCATATTTTCTTCCGGTCGCTTTTTCGAAAGCGGGTCTTTTGAAAGTGAAAGTAGTCTGGATGTGGGGTTTTTTTAACCCCCCCCCCCTTTTTTTGAAAAACCGCGTAAACCTCCATTTTAAAGGAAGAGCAGTTTTTTCAAAAATGTTTTTTTCCCTGAAAAAAAGTGTCCAGACTACTTTTACTTTCGTAAGACCCGCTTTCGAAAAAGCGACCGGAAGAAAATATGATAATTCCAGCAGAATTTGCATATCCTCTTTCGAAAATAAAACAGTCTAGACATGCCCAACGAAAGCACCAAGATCAGAGTCAATGACAATCATAGGTAAGCGGACCTTCCCACAGACAGCTGTTATATAATCGACCACTACTGAATTTTCAGTGGCTTTTCTGGTCTCGTCCACACTTATTTCTGCACACAATCCGTGGATGTGAAAAAGGCTGGATCTGGGCCACAGGATAACTGGTCCTTTGGAGGGGAAGGAAAGGAGGGGTTCAGTGCACCTGGGATTTATTACCTGCTGCCCAACTGGGCTTAAGAGAAGATACTTCGTCCTTATAAAGGGGCAGGCAATAGTGGGGGAAGGCTGACTACCCAGTGATCTCTCCACTCCAGCTACTGATGCCACTGTGGAAGAGGTTACAGAGTGGGAGACCCTAAGAAACAAGTGGGAGGGCTAGTGAGTGAAGGCTGAATTCCAGGCAGGAGGGCTGAGAGGGGCTGTTTGGTGAGGAACAAACTGGGGTAAAAGAAGGGCTCCAGGGCTGGCTGAGCATGCTAAAGCCGATTATGAACTTTGGTGTGGAGGTGTTGGACTTCCTTTTGAGGACTTTATTTCACAGTCAATACTATTGAACCAGTCCTAGGCGGGGGTGTGGTTATCCATAAGGAAATCTGTGTAGAGATCACTAGGGAGTCCTGAGAAAACCAACCCAAGGCTGTACAGAGCCACCCCATGCCATGAGAGAGGCACCTGGGCAGCGATGCATTCTTTCATAGCCCATGTCATAAATCAATCAGCCAAACAATCATGATTGTTAATTAGCAGCCGGAGTAGGAAAGATTATCTATGACTGCTAGATAATCAAATACAATGAGCTCAAATTCAGTGCACTGCCTTTCTGGCAAGAGTTTTGCTTGATGCCAAATAGTGATTCCCATTCTAGTGAAGTTTTGATTTGAAAAACTCCACTGTGCTGGGGACCTCCTGTACGTCAATGTGACACTGTTTGAAGTTGCATCAAAAGTTGTAGGCGCCTGTAGCTGTGCTTTGCTGCATCCTGTGATTATTTGGAAGAGCATACTGCACCTGGCTGGGCACCCCATGGAGCGTTCTTATTGTTACCCAAATTAAACAGCACAGCAAGTGAGTCTGAGTCATGTTTGCATTGGAGCAAGTGGTTTAAATGTACTTCCTTCTATAATTAAACTTCAAATAGCTGAAAAGTTCTCCTTTGTTATGAATGTAGCAAATGCTGTCCGGTCTCAGTCACTGAGCGGATGTGCCAAAATGCAGGCTGATGCAACTGCGTGGTAGTGGCCCCTGCTCTGTTTTACAGGGCTGAGATTTTTCAGAAATGCACAGCACTAGCTTCTCTCTATTCCCACTGAAGTCAACTGTCATGGACATCAGTATTGCAAATCTTACTCCAGAAAAATAAACCACTAGCCCCATCCTGCCAGAGGGGCATGCAAATAGGGCATTAGTTGGTGTGGGATTTTTATGGGGGGGGGGGGGGGGGAGGAGGAGGTATTTTCTCAATTCCCTCTGAAAATCAACCAGAAGTGGATATCTAACTCCCTGAGGCTGCTGCAAATGCCAATTTCTTTGCTATGATGGCTAGTGGCAAAGTTCAGTAAGAGCTGCCCATTACTTGCATTATCAAAAACTAGACAGGATGTTGTTTCTTCTCTGTCCAAACATAGAATAGACAGCCAGTTTCCCAAAGAGGAGTGAAATAGCACCGTAAAGCTGGTTTAAATGAAATGTTTATAAAATCATCCCACTTGGATGACACGCTATGTTGCGGCAATTACCTAATTAAGCTTCAGTAAAATGTCAAACCCTTTAAGACCAATAAATAGATCTCTGTGCAGAAAACAGCAGAACAGCATTCAATGGAATGCTTTAAACCATTAAAATGAGCCATTTTCCATAAGCTGTAACACTTCAGAGCTTTCCTTATGATTTGCTTTGACTTCTTGATTTTTAACTTGGAATGCTCCCACAACATGTTGACTTATGGCCTAATGGAAAGATTAGCTTTTATAGTGCAGTTTCAGACATCAGGTCCTTTATGTAGCTACGATGAGCTACCTACTATTCTAGGGTTTTAGCAACAATATTGCTAAAACTACATTCTCCATTAGACCATCTGCTTCTTCATTAGCCCGGATAGGTCTTGACAGTGCAGACTGTCACAGTTCTTTTTCCCCCATGATGTTTACTCTTGGGAAGAAAAAGAGGAAACATTATCTAAAGTTCCCACTGGACTGCAGTAGGAGAAACAGCTGCAGGAGTCTGGAGGGATGTAGCTGTTGACCTTTGCAGCTGGGAAGCAACTGAATCAGCTCTGCCTTGAGCAAGTGAACCTATACTCCATGTAACACTGAAAGAGTTCTGTGGTCTATAGTCAAAAGTTCACCAGACAGCATCTCTTTGTAGTTTTGTTTTTCTTGCTACCAACTATGGAACAAAATAGCACTGAAAATTTCTCTAGCCCTAATTAACAGACTTAGGCTTGTCTATACTAACTCCCACTATCAATCTATGCTATGCCACTTCAGCTATGCAAATAGTGTAGCTGAAATTGGCATATTTACAGTGACATCTTGTGTGCATTAGGGTCCTGGTGAAGTACCAACATCGACTGAAGTGCATTCAGAGATTGATTTATTACGTCTAAGCAGACATGATAAATCAATGGCCAGTGGATCGATCACTATAATATCGATCTCCTGCATAATGTATGGCTACACAGAGATGAAAGAGGTGGGGTACAGCTGCAGCCAGCCTGGGTCACCTGACCTGGTCTCAGGCTACAGGGGTAAATATTGCTGCATAGACCTTAGGGACCTTCCATCTTTGCAGAACATGAGCTGATCTGGGTTTTTTTTTATCCCCATGTAGATGTACCCCAGTACAGACAGATCTGATGGATATTTGTGCCAATGTAGCTACTCCAGTGCCAACTACTAATGCAATTGTACTGCACTGATGAAATACTGGGGGCTTGTCTACACAGTGTATTAGTTCACATCTGTGGGGTGTCAAGTCTAGTGCATGCTAGCATGTTACACATTCACTGTCCTGTGTCAATCCAGCTGGTGTGCATTAAAAGTTCCCTAGTGCCTGTTAATTGTCCTGTTTCAAACAGTATTATGTTAACACCCAGCAAGGAATTTTAAGTGTGGGTTAGCATGCAACTTGCTGGTGTGCACCACAGTTCATACCCCCACTAATGTACACTGACACACAGTTTAGGCAAACCTTCCTGCATCTTATCCAAGTTTCAAACCACACTCAGGTGCACCAGTGGAGCACGTTTACACTGGGATTTGTCCCTATCTAATTATCCTGGTACAAATCTCTCCCTAGCAGAGACAGGTCCTTAGACAAATGTGACAACAGAGCCATCGGTTGACATTTTGATTGCCATATCTTCCCTCCTAACAGTATTTAACAAAGCAAAATAAATGTTGTTCTAAATAGACAATGGCAGTCTACTAAAACAAAACCAACTTGAGAGCCTGATCCTTAGTCACCCAAAAGACAGGAGAAATTCAGTTCTTGAAAAGTGCCCATTGCAGAAAGGCAAGTACACAGGCTCATGCGGTGTAGCTAAGCCAGTAGCACACTGGTTCCATGTATGTTGCAAACATGCATAGCAGGACTGGTAAAAGAGCTTAGGTACAGCAGTCCACTTTACTCTCTCTCTCTCGAATGATAACACCACAATTAGTCTGCTCAGAAACCACTCACGTGCAGCCTCTTGACTGATGCAAATTTTACAATTGTTTTGCCACTTAATTTTGTGTTTATGTCACTGATCAACATAATTTGATGACAATGGAGGTGTCTTGCGCATACTTTGCCGTGACAGGCTTTCTGAGCCCCGGTCTATCACGGAGTTGTTTTGAAATAACAAGTGGAGCATACACACTATCAAGTCTATTATTTTGAAATAATAGCTCCTGATTTCCATGAGGAATAACGCTTATTTCAAAATAGCGGTAGTGTGGCTGCTCCACTGCTGCTATTTCAAAATAACTACTTCCCAGAGTCATTCAAAGTGATTACTCTGCAGTGCTTCTTGGGGTTCTAAGTCAAGGTAGCGCATCCACATTAAGGAAGCCTGCCTCAGACTATTTTTGAGGCTTCCCTGTAGTGTGGACACACTATTCTGAAATCGTTATTTCAGGAGTTTTTATTTCAAAATAATTTCCTAGTGTAGACATGCCCTGAGAGGTGGGGGCAGGAGAATAATCTCTCACTGCAAATGTTGTTACAACAGCTACTCATGTTCTCTTGCAGGAGGGATGCCAAAGGCAGTCCTCCCACTTGCCAAGTTAGAGTACTGTAAATGTGAGTTGGACTGATGAATCACCATAGTATCACCATTCTTGGGATTGGTTTTTTTGGTTCCTGGTTCTAGATCCTGAACTTTTCAACTCAAAGGCAAAAAATCCTTGCTCTTGTTAAAGTTGGAGGTGCAGATCCCAAGCTATTAGGAAATCAGCCATTAGAGTCAATGGAGCAAGGCCAAATCAATGGCATTTGCCAACTGACAGGATCAGGTTGAGAGCCATTTTTAATTTTTAAGTGACCCGATTTTCTAAGAATGGAATAATGACTTCTTTTAAATCTAGTTTTCTTATAAGTCACCATATACAACCCAGCCTCCAGCTGTCTCAAGGAAAGTGCATGTACTCTGCTACATTCAAATTCAATAGGCTGGCAGCAGCTAAAAGTCATACAGTCTGATCTGTTTACTTTGTCATAGTTACTATTAATCCATCTTAAGTACATTTTTGTTATTTTCCAAATCTCAATTAATAACATTTATAAGGTCTAAGAGCTTTCCAAATGGGTATTTACATGGATTTACAAAAGCCACCTGTCAGGAATATTCAGTAATTACTGTCAGCAGAATTTGTAAAAGTTATTTTAACTTTTCCCCTCAAAGGACTAAGGGGAAACAATATCCAATTAGACAACAGCCCACGTTGACTTGAGCTACTGAATGGAAGTTCTATGATGTACAATAAAAAGATCAAGTTAAATCACCTGAAAGGGTTAACGTGAAAACCATGAATTTCCAGACCTAAAACAAGTGCATGAGAACTTCACGTCTGTGCATGTATCCACACTCTACAGACCCAGTCCTACCTCCCACAGATATCAGTGGCAAGGCTGCCATAGCTGTGGAAACAGTAGTCAGCTATTAGAAGCTTTGTATATGTCTTACTATATATTTTTGAAATGTCTGTCAGTCAATCTGTGAGTCCATTTGTTCATGAACTCTTCCTCAACAGTAAGAGCTAGAACCACCAAATTTGGTATATAACTTCCTCTTATCATAACTTAAAGGAAGGTCGGAGTTTAGTTGTGCCAAGACAATGGGATGTGCCTGAAATTTGATTGTTTCTCATAACATTGAAAGAGGGGTCTGGTAGGAGGGACAGTTATACTCCAGAATGACCACAGGGGGGCAACAAGGGACCAGAAATGGAGACTAGGATAGCTATAACCGCATTGGGCCATTGGGGGCAGGGTGGAGAAAGGGACAGCTATCTACTATATATTTCAGAGAGTTTGTCTGTTTCTGGGTCTGTCTGTTCCCCAGACAGGGACATGCACCACTCTCCTGGCTATGCCTGCTGCAACTGCAGCAGCCATGGAGAGGTGCTTCTCAAATAGCCCCAAGCTACTGCAATGAGAGAGGGCTGGGGCTGTCCTCTCTCCCCAGAACAGCCTGCATACTAAACCCCTCTTCCCCAGCCTCACCCCGGAGCAGTGATTTAAATGAAGAAAAAGAAAACGTATTTGAGTTAAGAACCTGAGCAATGCCAGGTAAATCTTCCTCTGTGTGTGCGTGTGTGTGCGTGTGCGCTTTCTATTATAAGTGTTTGGCAGATACTCTGATGCTGAGTAATATGAGTGTTGAAGGGGAGATTTATTTCAAATAGTCCTGATGCGCCTAAATCCCTTGTGTATATAACAGCTATGGCTAAAATACTGTGGAACTCATCTGGTTGAGGAGAACTGAGTGCATGTGTATAGGGGAGAACTGGAGCAGACAGGCAAGTCTGAGTGCATGAATCCAAAGGACAGGCTAGGACACAGAGCCCTGGCAGTTCTTTGCAACAATTTATAAATTAATAGTCATCTGCGAAAAATGCATCTTTTTTTTTTATTCCTGAGCTGCTAGCTTTGTGATGTCTTGTCCTGTACAGTTTTATTTCCCTTTTCTGGCATAATAAGTGTGAGCTTGTGATGTAGGGTGTGAGAGAGAAATGCTTAAACTCTGGTGCCGCACAGTCTTGTGAGATTCAACTGGATGCACTTCACAGAGATCTAATGTGATACTCACTCAGCCATGGTGAAAGCCAGCTCAAAGTTCTGCTTGCGATTAGTGGGGTCAAGCGCATTATAGTCGAAGGCTTCGGGGAAGAAAGAATGCACCAGGGCACAAAATGCCATCCCGTCACTCCAACTCGAGGAGAAGTTCTGTAGATCAAGGTGCTGTCAGAATGCAAACAGAGCTTTATGGCTTTGTACAGAGCTGGCAACTGCATCTGTCTTTGCTCACTGGCTGTATTCTTGTTGTCTTACTCTTCAAAGGGAACATGCACAGTACTCCGTAGATCCCTTATGGGTTTTGCTTTTTCTTATCTGTACACCCATTATGTTCTTTGGGCAAAAGAGGAGAATTAGCATCATCCAAACCTTAGCCCTATAGAATAGTTGATAACCAGAGGATGGCATTTTTTTCTGCAGTGCTTAGTCCACTATATATTTGAGAGAGTCTGTTTGTCTGTTCAAGAAACCCTCCTAAATGGTAAGAGCTATTGTAACCGCCACTGAGCAGATTTGAACCTATGACCTTCGAAGCAGAGTATAGGAGCCTCTACCCTCAGAGCTAAAAACCAGCTAGCTCCCAGCCTGTGCTGTAGAGGTCTCTTGGTCTTAACTGTTGCTGTGGTCTAGGTACCACTTGCATTATTCAGTAACCACACTAGGTGTGTGGGTTACACTATGACCACCAAAGTTGGTATACAGCTTCCTCTTCTCATGACTTAAAGCAAGGTCAGGGTTTGGTTGTGCCAGGAAAATGGGATGTGCCTGGAATAGGATTGCTTTTCAGAAATCCATACAGAAAAGAGAATCACCAGACAGATGAAAGGGGCTCTCTGGGGGTGTCCCCCCCACCATCCAGGACTGCTCCAGTCCCAAGCCTCCCATCTTCCAGGCGTCCTTTAGAGAGGGGGGAGCTGAAGTTCCCCCTCTCAGATTCATACGGGAACTCTGCTATCTGATCCCCTTTATCCAAGAGTGAGGGGAAAGTGCACGGTTCTCTGCATTCCTTACTCTGGCTGAGGAGCCCAGGGAGCAGACTTGCCCCAGTCAGGGACATGTAACCCTCCCATGGCTGTGCCCACTGGAGCTGCAGCAGCCAGGGAAAGGTGCTTCTCACCTGGCTCTAAGCTGCTTTGATGAGAGAGGGCGGGGTAGTTCTCTCTCCCAGAAGCAGCCTGCATACTGAACCCCTCGTCCCCAGGCCCACCCCAGCAGAATGATTTAAAGGAAGTGTGGATATTTACATTTTATTTTCCAAAACCAAAAATTAATTGAGTTAAGGACCTGAGCAACATCAGGTAAATCTTCTAATATTGTATAAAAAAAACACGTATTTGCTTCTTTTATATATATATATATATATATAGAGAAAAATTAGTGCTGACTTATACCTTGCCTCTCCCTATTAACCTTAAGGGGGTCGTCTGGAGATGAAGGAGGGGAGATTTTGACCCAGTGGAATAGTACACAGCATAGGTCAGTGCAGAGCCTGGGTCTTTTACACTTACAACAAAGAACCAGAATCACTTTGGATTTGCACCCAAGTAACAAAACGGAATGGGACTCTTTTGCTTCCTGATGCTAGACTCTTTCCTAACAAACCAAAATCAAACTCTGACTACTATGATTATGGACGAATAGGATTTTGTCTACACTACAGCATTATTTCAAAATATCTAATTTCAAAATAGTTAATTCAAAATAGCTTATTTCAAAATAACGCATCTACACACAAAATGCATTTCGAAATAACATTTTTCTATTTTGAAATAGCGCATCCACACTGAGTGGACATTGAATCACATTTAAGGCTGGTTGGAACCAGTTCCAGCAGAGCATCAGGTCAGAAGTTACCTTGTGGCCAGGGCAGCTAGCAGGGCATCCTGGGAAGGGCTGGAGGCCCCCTATTTCGAGGTAAGCATCTACACAGCTCTTATTTCAAAATAGCAATTTCGAAATTGGCGCTATTCCTCATGGAATGATGTTTACCAATTTCAAAATAAGCCCTCTGCTATTTCGAATTAATTTCAAAATAACGGAATGGCTGTGTCGACACTAGGAAGGTTATTTCGAAATAACTGCTATTATTTCAAAATAACTTTGCTGTGTAGACATACCCTGAGCGATTTTCATTTCTCTTGGATTATACCCTTGAGTTTCAAGTTAACTAAATATAATTGTTGTTGTTCTCAGAATAGAACTGTGGAATGGGGAGTCTTTTGTTCTTAAACATCTAGGAAATTATCCCTTTTCCTTCCTGCAGTTGCAGTAGGCAATGCAGTTTGATGCTATGGCCATGTCTTCACCACAGGGAAGATTGATGCTGCCGTGTCTGATCTTCCAGAGTAAACTCAGGGTACCCCATCAGTGCTGGTACTCCTGCTTCTCATGAGGACGAGGGGAAGTCAATGGGAGCATGTGGAAACTTAAATTAAGGTATGTTGACTCCAGCCAAGTAATTAATGTAGTTGGAGTTGCGTATCTCAATTCAACCTTCCCCTAGTGTAGACCTGGCCTATGTAACATTAATGGAACCTCACACAGGCCAAATTCTCTTCTGTTACACTGAAGCAGTTCTATAGACATGAACATGCCTAAACCAAAGGAATTTAATCTCAAGTATTTAATATGATGGAACATCTCTAATTCCAATTTTCAGCTTGGAAATATGATGATCAAGGGGGGATATTATAGAGTTCTATAAAACCATGACTGGTCTGGAAAAAGTGACTGAAGAAGAGTTATTTGCTCTTTCGCATAACACAAGAATTAGGGGTCACCAAATGATATTAATAGGTAGCAGGTTTAAAACAAAAGGAAGTATTTCTTCACACAATGCACAGTGAATCTGCAGAACTCCTTGCCAGAGAATGCTGTGAAGTCCAAAACTATAACAGGGTTAAAAAAAGAGCTAGATGAGTTCATGGAGGATAGGTCCATCAATGGCTATTAGGATGGGCATGAATAGTGTCCCGGATGTCTATGTCTCAGAAGCTGGGAATAGGCAACAGGGGAGGGATCATTTGATGATTGCTTGTTCTGTTCATTCCCTCGGGAGCACCTGGCATTGGTCACTGTCAGAAGACAGGATACTGGGCTGATGGACTTTTCATCTGACCCAGTATGGCCGTTCTTATGTGCAGTAAAGCAGTCTGGTCTACCAAAGTTACCTCGGTCCCCAGGTAACTGTACTATCGTGTAATCTCCAGCCTAATCCACATAATACTAGCTACTATATATTTGAGAGAGTTTGGGCATCTGTGTGTCTGTCTGTGAGTCCAGTTGTTCAAGAACTCCTCCTAAATGGTAAGAGCTAGGACCACTACATTTGGTATACAGCTTCCTCTTATCATAAGTTAAAACAAGGTCGGGGTTTGATTGTGCCAAGACAATGAGATGTGCATGGAATGCGACTGTTTCACATTAAACAGAAAGGGAAGGGTGTAATAGCAGGGACAGTTATACTGATGAATGTCCACCAGGGGCCAGCCGCCCACTGTGCCACATGGCCCCCATCACCTTGGGCCACCCCAGACCTGGGCAATGCCAGATAAGTCTTTTTGTATTTAATAAAGCAGTTATACTTTGCAATAAAGGAGACATACATTGCAATTAGGAGAGAGTTTACAAATGTAAAATGAATTTTGTGAACACACACAATTTAGATCTCAGTCCAGCAAAGCAATGAGAGTCAGTTTTTTAAAAGTATTTCGGTACCTACTTCTTATGGTAAGCTGATGCCTAAATATTTTAGACAATCTAGCCCTTACTCATTAACTTCAAGGATGTGAGTATCTCTGTGACTTTAAATGAACTAAATAACACACATGTAATTTATACCCATATCACTGGAGTCCAGTGATAAATGTAACCTCATTGGCTATTGTTGCCACTAGCTGCAGAACATGCTTGAGTACAGTTTCTCTAGAAGTACTAAAAGAAATTCCTGTAAAGAACTAAAATGGAACACACTACAAGCAATAAGGCCTTCTCACCTTGTATCCTATGGTTTTGGAGCGACACCAGTCCAGGAGAATCTGCTTAATACTGCTTGCGCTGGCAACCCCAAAACTCTGTGACCTCTTCAGCTTTGCTTTGGACTCTCCTTTTCCTCTACAAGCAGAAAAGGGAGAAAACCTTGACTAGAGAAAACAAACCCTAACACCTTCACATAAGCGTCATGCACGGACAGACAGTAACTAACCCATAAGTACAAGGTTTCTTTTGCCACCTCTTGCCAATGTGCTATATGAGGCATGTAGAGGGTGAAATTTTGGCCCTAAAGGGAAAATCCTATTAATTTCAAAAGAATCAGGCTTTCCCCTCTAGTTTGTTTTTTCAGGACAAACATTATGAGGCAAGGACCATGTTCTCTAAGCACATTGCACTGTTGACTCTCAATGACAATATAAGGTTGACATTTGTGTCCTTTCATGAGCCATCCAGGAGGAGGTTTTCATAACACTCCCTTCTCAACAACACCTGCTAGGACAGTTGAGTGACTGTATAACAGCTAGAGCTCAGAATTTCCTAGCGACTGCCCTTTTTGAGGTTGACATACTCCCGACATTACTGGATCTCCATTCTCAGTAAACAGTGTTCACCAAGCGCTTGAGACAGGACCCACTGGAAATTCTCCTGCTGATTTCAGTGGAGCTGAAAAAGGCCCCACATTCCATTTGCTCAAATCTCCAAAGCTGTGTCTAGACTGGCAAGTTTTACCGCAAAATCATCTGCTTTTGCGGAAAAACTTGCCAGCTATATACACTGGCCGCTTGAATTTCTGGAAAAGCACTGACGATCTGATGCAAGATCGTCAGTGCTTTTCCGGAAATACTATGCTGCTCCCGTTTGGGCAAAAGTCTTTTTCCAAAAGACTTTTGCGCAAAAGTGCCAGTGTAGACAGCACAGTAGTGTTTTCTGCAAAAAAGCCCCGATCGCGAAAATGGTGATCGGGGCTTTTTTGCGGAAAACCGCGTCTAGATTGGCCATGGACGCTTTTCCACAAAAAGTGCTTTTGCGGAAAAGCATCCTGCCAATCTAGACATGCTTTTCCGAAAATGCTTTTAATGGAAAACTTTTCTGTTAAAAGCATTTTCGAAAAATCATGCCAGTGTAGATGTAGCCCAAGTGTCAAGGTCCCTCAACTATAAGCCATTAGTGGAGTGTTTTCCCATGAGTGAGCCCCTTTGGAAGCAAGAGGATGCGGCAGGGACTAAGGAGTGACATACTTCCCACTGTCCTGCTCAAATTTCTCGAAGAGAGCTTTCCTGGCCTGCGTTCCTGAAGTGCGTGGCAGCGTCTGAGACCGCACCAGTTCTCGCCTCCTTTCCACTTGACGATGTGGCGGAGACCGGGATTTGGGTGGCACATCATGGAAACTGTCAGCAGTGCTGCTGAAAGATAACACCAAAAACACACTAAGCAACAGTACCTGGAACACTGGCTACTATATAAAGCACCAAGATCAGTTACAGTGAAACATCAGCAATCCAAACACACGGAATAAACATTTTCACAGTACGTGAATAACTTAACCGTCTGAGTCTCATTTTCAGAAGTAACTTGGGTATTTAGTAATAACATTTCTTCTAATTTTTTCCATCCGTGTGCAGAATAAATTGTACTATATGCCCCAAGATATGTGCAGATGTGCACCACTAATAGGAACACATGCTGCTGGCTGTGGGCACCCTGCTAATCAGCTGACCAGTATTTAAATCTTTCCTGGATAGCTACCCAAGTGCTCGGGTTATAGGGAACACTGTCTAGGAACCTCAATCTGACTGAAGAGCTATAGGATATGGATAGCAAAAGGGCAGATTTCAAAGGATATTTAGATGCCTAACGCCCATTGAAATTAATGGAGTTAGGTACATAAATAAATAACTAGGTCTAAATCACTTGTGAAAATGGGACTTAGCCATCTAAGTCAGGCATTACAGGGCAACTCCTCAATCCCTTGAATCTAAGCATTAGGCACGTAAGGTCTGAACCCTCCATTTCCAATGAGATTTATGCCTTTAAGGGCATAAGTCACATTATAAAAATGCTTTTGGGGCTATTAAGTCATTCATACAAAATCCAGTCTTTGGCTTCAATAAATCAGCCTGGCTCCGCTGCTTCTAATGGACCCAGACCAATTTATACTAGCAGGCCAGTTGGATTATATATCACTTTGCACTTCTATTTGAGGTTCCCCAAGCACTTGCCAAACCATAGTGATTTAAGCTACATAGTACACATGGGAATAAAGGTGTGTTACCACCTTTTCCAACAGGGGGAAACTGAGGCACAGAGTGTGGCACTGACTGTCTCAAGATCGCACATTATACAGAGCACAGCTGTGAATTAAACCCAGATCAACTGACTTCAAGCCTCATGTATAAATCCCACAATGATCATTCTTCCATGACCTAGCCACCAAAGAGCTGGTATAGCATCCATACTTATTAGTTCATAAGAAATTTAAAACCCCGGGCAAGATATTTTCAGGGCAGATGCAAGTCCAATTTAAGTGCTCCTCTTTTTCTTTATGAGGTTTTGCATGCTGAGTATCCCTTGATATTGCTGCAGTAATTGTGATACTGTGTAATCCTACACTAAACGGTGACTTTGAGTTAATCACAAAGGCGTGATAGTCAGCCTTTGGGAAGGAAAGCAAAAAGTCACAGTATGCTCTGCAAGGAGTTAAGAAATTTCAATCTGTAAGAGAAGCTATGGGCCTGTCAAACTAAGGATGTTTGATAGGGGTCATGCGTTCAAGTGCCAAAAATAGACCCAGAAGAATAACTTTTAAACAGCTGAGTGCTTTAAAAGGAGCTTTCAGAGGCCCAGACATGGCTATTAAAGGGTAACTCAAGCTTTTTACATCCCACATGTGCTCGTTCATGCTGGGTTTAGACCAGGGTTATCAATGTGGCACTGAATAGCAAGGTTCTGAACATGGTGTCTTCTGACAGTGAGGTTTGTGTGACTGTGGAACACTCCGTGCATGGAGACACAGGTCACTAGCCCAGCTAAAGCACAATAAAATATACAGCACGGAACAATCCTGCACTGAGTGGGGGAACAGGCTAGCTCAAGAGTTACCAAACTGGTTTGGTACCGAGTATGGAGATGGGAGCCGTATGTCTGAGAACCTTACACAGAGTAATAGACTTAACTATGCAATACTTATGTAAAGTAGAAAAGTATTGTTAACCCAATTTACAGGAAGGATGCTACAGAGTGGGTCGGCTACCTATGACTCACTAGGGAGCCAGATATGGCTCTTCTGGAGCCCCAACTCAGCCCCTTCCCCCCCAGCTCCCCTTACAGCCCACCACAAGACTGGAACACCAGCGCTGGGGGACAGGGGAGGAGGAAGAGAAAGCCCCGAGCCTCCCCGCTGGATCTGACATGTGAACTGAAAAGGGCTCAGTGCGCTGTCATTTTCCTTCCCCAGGACACACTTTTTGAGGGCTTCCCCTGCAAATCCTTCCTGGAGGCTTCCTTCCAGCAAATGGGAGCAGCAGGAGGCCATGTTACATGGTGCCTGTGATATGGCATGAAAACAAATAAGTGCCCCCCAGCACCTCCAATCCCTCACTCCCCAGACCAGGCAGCCTGCCCCCAGCCTGCTCCCCCCAGGCCAGGCAGCCTGCCCCCAGCCTGCTCCCCGCTGCATTCACAGCTAGATCAAGCATCCTCTAGAGATCATCCCTGACAGATATTTATCTAACCTGCTCTTAAATATTTCCAATAAGGAAGATTCCAAACTTCCCTAGGCAATTTATTCTAGTGTTTAACCACCCTTACAGTTAGAACATTTTTCCCAAAATAGCTGTTCTGCCTCTATTGAAGCAGCTCCGTATTTCAAAATAGATTTTGAAATGGTGGTCAGCTTATTCCGATGTCCCGGTAACCTTCGTTCCATGAGGGTTAAGGGGAATTTTGGAATAGTGAGTTATTTTGAAATTTGGCGCTGTCTGAAATAAGCTATTTTGAAATACACTCAAAATAAGCTACACAATTTGTGTAGCACAGATTGTATAGCTTATTTTGAGCTAAGGGTGCTGTGTAGATGCACCCCTAATGATCAACCAAAACCTCCCTTGCTGCAATTTAAACTCACTGTTTCTTGTCCTATCATCAGGTGTTACAAATAGTTTTTCTCCCTCCTCCTTGTAACACCCGTTTAGGTATTTGAAAGCTATTATGTCCCTCCTCAGTCTTCTCTTTTCCAAACAAACTCAGTTCTTTCAGTCTTCCCTCAAGGTCATGTATTCTAGACCATTAATCATTTTTGTTGCTTTTCTCTGGATCTTCTCCAATTTCTCCACATCTTTCATGATATGGGGCCCAGAACTGCACACAATACTCCAATTGAGTATTAATCAGTGCAGAGTAGAGCAGAATTATTGTGTGTGTCTTGCTCACAACACTCCTGTAAATACATCCCAGAATGATATTTGCTTTTTTACAACAGTGTCACACTGTTGACTCTCATTTAGCTTGTGGCCCGCTATGACCCCTAGATTCCTTTCTGCCGTACTCCTTCCTAGACCGTCACTTCTCACTTTGTATATGTGAAATTGATTGTTCCTCCACTTAGGGACTTTGCATTTGTCCTTATTGAACTTCATCCTATTTACTTCAGACCATTTCTCTAGTTTGTCCAGATCATTTTGAATTATAATCCTGTGCTCCAAAAGCACTTGCAACCCCTCCCAGCATGGTATCATCCGCAAGCTTTTTAAGTGTACTGTCTATGCCAATATCTAAAGTCATTGATGAAAATATTAAACAAAACTGGTCCCAAAATGGATCCCTATGGAACCCCACTTGTTATGCCCTTCCAGCATGATTGTGAAGCATTGATAACGGAGAATGGTTATCCAACCAATTAGTCACCCACCTTATGGAATTTCCCACTTTTCTGGGATTTGTCTTTACTGTTAATTTGCATGTTAAACCAATCTCAGCCTAAGAATTATCATGAACTTGACTGTTCCTTTGGAAATGGGCTTAAGCAATGGGCTTAAATTGCAGCAAGGGAGGTTTAGATTGGACATCAGGAAAAGCTTCCTGTCAGGGTGGTTAAACACTGGAATAAATTGCCTTGGGAGGTTGTGGAATCTCCATCACTGGAGACATTTAAGAGAAGGTAAGGCAGACACCTGTCAGGGATGATCTAGATCAGTGGTCTCCAACCCTTTTACACCCAAGATAACTTTTTAAATGACAAACCAAGCCAAGATCTACTGCCCCGCCCCTCCCTTGAAACCCACCCTCTCTATTCTCCTCCTCTCCATTACTTGCTATCCCCAATCCTTATACTGCTGCTTTTTTAAAAAAAAATTCTTCTGTAGGAAGAGGTTTTTCCAACATTTGGCCTGTCTAGACTGGACCAAATGTCAGAAAAAAAACCTTCTTTTGGAAGCCCCCTTATTCCTCGTGGAAAGAGGAATATAGGGGTGACCGAAAGAGCATGTTTGCTCTTCCACTCAGAAAAGCGGAAGAACAAACGCAACCCTGGATGCAGAAGAGTTTTTCTGGGATATCTCCAGAATCCTGAAAAACTCCTACAGTCTAGCTGGACCCTCGCTGGGTTGAGACAGGATGTGTAGTCTCTGGGGTGGGAATGAGGGATTTGGGTGTGGGAAGGGGTGAGAGGTGCAAGCTCTGGGAGGAAATCTGGATACAGGAGGAGGTGGAGAAGGGGACACTGGCTCGGGGAGGGGGCTCCAGGCCGGGCAGTGTTGGAATACTAAGCAAGCCAGAGACTTGCGGATGTGAGGTTGCAGGAATTTGGGTTGGAGTATGTGAGGGGCTCAGGGCAGGGGGTTCCAGTGTAGGATAGGCTCAGATCTAGAGTTTGGGGTAAAGGGGGGTACAGGAGTGTCATGATAGTGTGGCCAGATGGGGGCTTGGCCCCAATTGGGGGTTTGTTGGCCAGCCTTCATTTTTAAATAAAATACTATGTCAAACACAAGAAGTTTCTGCATTGTCTTTATTTATGAGAATGTCAGGGAACCTGCCTTGATTCAGGGATCATGACCCATAGAAAAGTCATTCGGGAGCAGGGGACACAGTACTGGGGAGGGGTGCTAGTGGGTTCTGGGGCAGGGAACAGGGTGCCGATGGGGCAGGGTGCCAGAAGGACAGGTTTCTGCAGCAGGGGACAGGGTGCTGGGGGGGGGGGGGGGGGCGGGGTTTTG